TAATAATTTTACAATAATTTTCATTTTATAAGTAATTTGAAATTGACTAATATTTTTATTTTATTTTTATATTATATATTAGTAGTAGTAGTAGCAGCATCTTTATTTAATTTAATATTTTTTTTTATTGTGCATAGTGTAATATACACACATAATATCTTTGACCAATGGTGATTTCATGATGAGCAAGATGTGTTTTAGTTTCCAAAAAAAAAAAAAAAAATCTGGGTGAACTGGGAAAGGAGTTTTGCATTTTTAATGTCAGAATGTCCTGTGTGTTCATGCTGGATGAATAAACTGTAGTTTGCAAGCATGCTGTGGGATATAATGTAGGCTAAAAAAGCTTTAGACAATGTTCATCCAGTTTCCGCATGTCTCGAGGCAGGCTCACGGTTTATCAGGCTGTTGCTGTGTGTTCACACACTCGCTGACCTGCAGAACCGCAGACACTGTAGCGACTTTAGAGACCTGGCGAGCTGGAGGTTTAGCAGGAGAACAGAGACCGAGATCCTGAACTAACTCAACAGATGCCTGACCAACTAGCGGACTGATACAGTTATTAAAATTACTGATATTATTATTTTTAAGCATACAAATAATCAATATACAGAACCGATAAATAAATATTTTTAAAGCTTTTTGACCAGTGTTATAATTAACAAAAACTAAAACTATTCAAATGGATTTTTAAAACTGAAATAAAATTGAAATATTAGATGAAAACCTTCAAGTAAACAAAAAACAGAAATGTTGCTTTGGCATCTAAACGAAATAAGTTTAAGTTAAAATACTCAAATAAAAATAAATTAATCTAGAAATATGTGTAAGAAAAACTAATAAAATGACAAAAGCACTACTAAAAATGTAAACTGAAATTAAAATGAACTGAAAATACAAAAATAAAAGCCAATTCAAAATAATAATAATAATAAGCATTATAGCCATATATAAATAATTCGAAAATAGCACTGTTTTTTAAATAATGATACATAACAAATATTAATATTACATGAAAAATTCAAACTGAACAATAATTAGAAATGTTACATTGGCAACTAACTGAAATAAGTTTAATTTAATATGCTAAAATTACTGACTAACTAAAATTAAATTAAATGAAAAGTATTTAGAAATATTAAAACAAATCATAAAAATAAAGGAACATTACTAAAAATTATACAAATTAAAATGTAACTAGAAATATAAAAATAAAAACTACAGCTAACGACAACACTATATACAGTAACTAAAACTAAAATAACACAGTTTTTGGCCATGAATATATGAAAGAATATCAAATAAATATTAGATGAAAATGAGAAATGTCACACTGGCAACTAATTAAAATAAGCATAAGTTAAAATAATACAATTACTAACTGACTAAAACTAAAATTAAATAAACTATTTGGAAATATTTTAAATAAAAAAATTAATAAAATAAAAACATTACTACATTAAAACAATACTCAAAATTAAACCGATTAAAATGTAAAACTGAAAATATAAAAATAAATAAATACAGAATATAAAAACAAAAATAATACTAAAATAACACCGTTTTGACCTAAAAATGACTGTATAAAAAATATAAATATTAGATGATAAACTTCACAATGAAATGTTAAAATACTAACCGAAATAAAACTAAAACTGAAATGAATAAACTATTTATAAATATTAAAAAAACTAATATAAACAGACTGATCTGAAAATCTAAAAATAAAAGCCAATTCAAAATTCGTTTTTATTATTTTTCACAGTGATATAAGAAAATATATCATATATATGAATACTGGATATTAACACATGGTAAAAAACAAACAAACAGTTCATCTGTCAGTCTCTATGTGTGATTAAACGTGAATCTTAGAGAGATGTTGAGAGTTTTATTCAGACCTCAGGCAGCAGGTGAATGTGCTCATAGCGGCGTCTGAAGGGAAGCCCCAGGACGGAGCAGCGGCGGTAGGCCACGGGTGGAGGCTGCAGCTCCAGCATCAGGTCTGAGCGGTGAGGCTGAGCCAGAGACATGACGAGGCTGATGGCACAACACGTCACGAGTCGATCTGAAATCATCATCTCATGTTTTAATAGAGATAACGTGAGAGTAACATTTGACCTTCCAGAGGAGGAACAGCCTGTACCTGGATGTCCTTCAGGAGTTTGGACGCCTGGTGGATGTTGAGCCGTGTGTCTATGGGACAGCAGCTGGTACGGAGCCAGAGAAGTCCGGCTCTGTTAGAGTCAGAGGTCAAAGCTTTTCAGACTGGAGATTAAACTACACGACATTTGTCCATCCCAGTTTCCATGGCAACCGTTCTAGATATTCTAATGGATTTCCACTGGGGATTCTGCATCATTATAAAACCATTATGAAAAATATTAGTTTGTAGAAAAGAAGAAATATTGTGTCAATCGATGCAAAAAAATCGCAATGATCCTAAAAATAGTGATATGGAAAATATAGTGTTTTATTTATTTATTTGATGTGGGGGTGAATGGTGTTTGTGAAATGTTTCTTCTGCTCACCAAGGCTGCATTTATTTGATTAAAAATACAGTAAAAACTGAAATATTGTGAAATATTATTACGATTTAAAAATACTGTTTTCTATTTGAATAAATGTTCAAATATAATTGATTCCTGTGATCAAAGCTGAATTTTCAGCATCATTACTCCAGTCTTCAGTGTCACATGATCCTTCAGAAATCATTCTAATATGCTGATTTGCTGCTCAAGAAACATTTCTGATTATTATTAGTGTTGAAAACAGTTGTGCTGCCCAATATTTTTGTGGAAACTGATACATTTTATTTTTCAGGATTCTTTGATGTACAGAAAGCTTTTGGGAAGTCGTGGCCTAATGGTTAGAGAGTCAGACTCGTAACCCAAAGGTTGCGGGTTCGAGTCTCGTACCGGCAGGGATTGTAGGTGGGGGGAGTGAATGTACAGCGCTCTCTTCCACCTTCAATACCACGACTGAGGTGCCCTTGAGCAAGGCACCAAACCCCCAACTGCTCCCCGGGCGCCGCAGCATAAATGGCTGCCCACTGCTCTGGGTGTGTGTGTGTGTGTTCACTGCTGTGTGTGTGCACTTTGGATGGGTTAAATGCAGAGCACTAATTCCGAGTATGGGTCACCATACTTGGCCACATGTCACTTGTCACTTGTCACTTTATTTGAAACATTATAAATGTCTTTACTGTCACTTTCGATCAATGTAATGCATCCTTGCTGATTAAACATGAGTTTCTTGAAAATGTTCTCTGATATGCTGTGTCTCACCAGTGAAGATGATGGTATTGAGGCTGGATTTGCCCCACAGCTCCAAGAAGTGCACCACATCCCCGAAGCGCAGGGACGGGTGACCCGTGAACACCACACACGGCTGCCGGAACTCACTGCTGAAATCTCCATGAATGCTGGGGTAATGCTTCAGTTCATTGGTCTGAATCAGCTGCAGAAACCAAGCACATGACAAACAGGTATGTGTCCATACAGGGATGCCTTTTGAGGATTTTGCCGTTTTTTTGGTACCTCTGCGTGAGGAAAAGGCGGCTCAGCAGATAGACCTTAGACTGCTAAGAGAATGAGCTATTATTGAGCACTTCTATGGAAATATCACAGCAATAATGAACAGTTACCATGGTAACCATATTATCTGCCAGCATATTATCAAACCAATGAACTTCAGTGACGCTTCCAGTGACTATTATGGAAAAAAAAAAACATTTTAAAGACATTTCTGGAGTGGTACATATAATTAAATTAATATTCAGTTATTAATAATATTACAGATGTCATTAATAAGTCAAATCCCACAATATGACAATGAACTGCAAACAAATAAAATTAATTACATGATTTTATTAATTTTATTCTGTTAATTTAATATTTAATTATATTGTATTATTCTATATATAGAATATATATAGCTGATTAACTAGAAAAAAATTATTAAATATTTATATTTTATTAATTTTAATATTCAATTATTAATTATATTTTAATTGTGTTACAGATGTGTTCAATAAAACAAAACCAACAATCTAGCCAATGAACAAGAAAAAATCTATTTAATTTTAATTAATACATTTTTATAATAAGTTATTAATTATATAATAATAATAATAATAATATATCATATTACAGGTGTTTTTGATAAAACAAAACTCACAATATCTAGCTGATTAACAAGAAAAAATATTAATATTAATATAATTTGTAATTATTTAATCATTATATTATATTAAATTATATTACATATGTTTTTGATAAAACAAAACTCACAATGTCTAGCTGATTAACAAGAAAAAATACCAATTTAAAAAAAATTATTTAATCATTATATTACAGATGTTTTTGATAAAACACAATATCTAGCTGATTAAAAAGAAAAATTCTAAATATTAAATATAATTACATTTTTTTATTATTATATTATAAATGTATTTAATAGGACAAAACCCACAATATTCTAGCCGATGAACAAGAAAAAAATAGTCACTATAGAATCATTGCAACGGCAGTGATGACTGAAACTGTGACCAAAATAATATCTGTAGCAACTATAATATTTTAAATCAACCACATTACTGGAAGCAACTGCATCGAGCCGCTTGCGATCGTCCCATTCTGCGAAGATCTGCGAGAACTCCAGCGAGCCGCTGGCCACGGGGGAGATGAAGTAGAAGGGGGTGCTGCCCAGGTCAGCCGAGTCCATGAACTGATACAGACACTGCAGCAGGTCACAGATGACCCCGGACGAATACCACGGCACCGGCACGGATCGTCATGGCTGAGGAGAGAGAAAGCACCCAGACATACTCGGAGTCAGACGCACTCTTACCTAACACACCGGATCCGGCAGGTGTGTGAAACTCACCCAGGTTGCTGCAGAATCCTCCCAGCATGCCATCCGGGTTGGCGGTGGGGTCCGGGTCAGGCCTGTTAGGATGAGGACGTCGCTGTTCTTCAGAGAGCTCCGCTCCATGGGCTGCACCACACAATAACCCGTCAATAACTGATGAGAACCCTAATCAGCTGTCCTGCATACTGGCTACATCAGCAGTAACCTAAGTGACATTCACACATCTCACAAATCATATCAACAAAGTGGTTTTGTTTTTAAGTTTTAAATATTTTTCAGCTTTATTTCAGTTAATAGAAAAAGAGTATTATTATTAATTATTATTAAAAGACTAAACTCACAACTGATATCAATGAAGTATGATGTTAGCAGCATGTTATTTATTTTTGATTATTTATATACTATTATGGTATTTATTGATATTTTGATATTATACTTAAAATGTAAAAATAAAATCAAAATATAAAAAAATGTAATATACATTTAGTCCACAAGGTGTGATTCTCTGTTGCTTAATTGCTTAAACCCTAGTAGAATTGTACATAATATAAGATATCATGTATGTTATGTAATATGTACACTGCTGTTCAAAAGTTTGGGATCAGCAAGATTTATAATGTGTTTTACGGAAGTATCTTCTGCTCATCAAGGCTGCTTTTATTTGACCAAAAATGCAGTAAAAACAGTAATCTTGTGAAATATTATTACAATTTAAATGACTGGTTTTCTAGTTGAATATATTTAAAAATACAATTTATTCCTGTGATCAAAGCTGAATTTTCAGCATCATTACTCCAGTCTTCAGAGTCACATGATCCAATATGCTGGTTTATTATCAATATTGAAAATACTATTATGGTATTTATTGATATTTTGAATTAGCTTTTATTTTTTTGTATTTTCAGTTAGCAATTTTGTCATGTGCTTTGGTCATTTTTATAATTAAATTTTTTAGCTATATTTTTTTTATAGTTATATTTCGTTTTAAGTTTTAGTAATTTTGTTATGTGCTTTAGCCTTTTTTAATCGGTTTTCTTTTTTTATAGCTGTAATTTATTTTATTATATTAATTTGAGTAATTTTAGTACTTAATCTTATTTCAGTTAATTGCAAAAGTTCTAATTGTTCTCATTTCAACTTTTCTAAAAAGCACTCGACCGGTGTTATTTATATTATGTAATATTTATATATTATTGTGGTGTTTATTCATATTTTTGAATTAGCTCTCATCATTATTTTTTCAGTTCACTTAAATTTTTTTGTTTAAGTTTTAGTCATTTTGTAATGTGCTTTTATCACTTTTATTAGTTGTAGCTTTTTTATATTTATATATAGCTTTAAAAAAAAAAATTGGTTCTTTAACATAAACTTGTTTTATTTCAGTTAGTTGCCAAGACAACATTTTTCATTTTTGTTTCGTTTTTTTTTTACTTTTTTCATCTAATACTTAGATTTGAGTTTTTTCAGCTTTATTTCAGTTAACAAAAATGGTTTTAATTTGAGTTAGCAATAACAACACTGGACTCGATTTACGATTGATTTCAATGCATAAAATAAATACATTTTTAAATATTACTATTCATTTAATTTTCTTTTAAATTAATATTTTATTTATATTTTGTGATTTAAATTTTATATGATATTGAATAAATGAATAATCAACATTTCTCTTGGCTTGGATGATTTTTTCATGCATTATGGGATAGTGTGTTGGCAGGCGTGTGGCGTCACCGGAGGCTGTGTGGTGAGCAGAGACGAGCCAGACACACGAGACACTCTCATAATGACTGAATGATCCAGTTTGAGCTGCCCAGAGAGTATCCCCAACTCAAAGGTATATGTATAAAATGACATAATTTAATAATTTACTATATAACTGTCTATTATATTATAGATGTCTTTAATAAGACAAATCCCACAATATTGAACTGATGAACTACTGCAAAAAAAATAATAATAATAATATAAAGCAGCAACCTAAAATACACAAACACCTTTATGAGATTTCTCATTCATGCACCCTGGAGAATTGTTGTCTAAGTTGGTGGTTTTTGGGCAGAAGGAGCAGCAGTGTGGAGTTGAGTACGTCTGTATTTCTTTGTTCTTCCAGCAGGTGGCAGCACGAGCCTCTGGTGCTCTCTCCATCAGCAGCAGCCTGAAGCACACAACAGCTGATAGAGCAAGCTGTCCTCTCTTACTGTCAAATCAAACGAGGAATTCACTGTCAGCTCATGTGAGATCATTCAACTTACATTCAGTACTATTCAAAGGTTTGGGGTCGGTAGAACTTTTGAATGTTTAAAAGTCTCTTCTGCTCACCAAGGCTGCAGTTATTTGATCAATACTGTAAAAATGTGAAATATTGTCATTTAAAATAACTGTTTTCTAAGTGAAACTAATGTATTGCTGTGATCAAAGTAGAATCTTCAGCATCACATGATTCTTCAGAAATCATTCTAATATGCTGGTTTATTATCAATGTTGAAATCAGTTTTACTGCTCCATATTATTTTGGAACCTGTGATACTTTTTTCAGGATTCTTTGATGAATAAAGTTCAAAAGAACAGCGTTTATTTAAAATAGAAATCTCTTATAACAATACAAGTCTTTAATATCACTTTTTATCAATTTAACACATCCTTGCTGAACGAAAGCATTCATTTCTTAAAAATAAAATCAAATTGAACGACCCCGAACTTTTGAACTGTAGTGTATGTTGTTATCAAAAGATTTCTATTTTAAATAAACACTGTTCTTTAAAAAAAAAAAAATTTCATCAAAGAATCCTGAAAAAAGTATCACAGGTTCCAAAAAAAAAATATGGAGCAGCAAAACTGTATTCAATATTGATATTAAATCAGCATATCAGAATGATTTCTGAAGGATCATGTGACACTGAAGACTGGAGTAATGATGCTGAAAATACAGCTTTGACTCACAAGAATAAATTACATTTTACTACATATTCAAATAGAAAACTGTTATTTTAAATTGCAAAAATATTTCACAATATTACTGTTTTTCTGTATTTCTGATCAAATAAATGCAGCCTTGAGCAGAAGAGACTTCTTTAAAACACATTAAAAATCTTACTGATCCCAAACTTTTGAACAGCAGTGTATTATGTTGTATTCTGATTGATCCAGATGATAATAATAATAATAATGTTGATCTATGGTGCTCCAGCCCACAGTCCAGCATGATGCTGGTGGGTTTAAACTTGAGCACATTACAGGGCAGAGTGGGGTGACCTGACAGACAACACACACACACACACACCACACCACACACCACACCACACGCACACACACCACACCACATCACACCACACACGCGTGCACACACACACACCACACACCACACACGCGTGCACACACACACACCCACCCACACACACCACACACACCACACCACACCACACCACAACACAACACAACACAACACAACACCGCACGCACACGCACACGCACACGCACGCACAACACACACCACACCACAACACAACACAACACAACACAACACAACACAACACAACACAACACAACACAACAAAAACAACAAAACAAAACACAACAAAAACATAAAAACAAAACAAAAACATAAAAACAAAACAAAAATAAGGTTTCAATAGATTTGCTCGGCATTGCTGGGAACGCCCACAAAAACAAAATAATAATAATAAGCTTCCAATAATGCTTTAATTTATTTTCTGTACAACAGAGTAGTTATTTTATTTCATCACTGATTTTTGTTTGCATTTTTGTGCTTTTGGCAACAGTTTATGCAAAACAATATTATAAAATTCACCAAGAAAGGTTACATTTCAAAAATAGTGAAATTGACAGACAGAAAGGGAGAGAGAGAATGCACACATAGATCTGAACTCTTTGACTCCTGGGATTAAGGAAGAGGGGCAGACAGCGCGTGTAAACACAGCCTCTGGCGAGGACACCACACCACACCACACCACACAACACAACACAACACAACACACACAACACCACACACACAACACAACACACACACACAACACACACAGAGAGAGATCATCATTTACTGCAGCGGACTCAATATTACTGTCACTGTAGATTCAACTCAAAACAGCCGTTATCATATTTATGCACTAGTAAAACACACTGATGTACGCACCAGTTTCATGTCTGAACTGCAGAAGTTGGACTGATTCCCTAGCTTTGTTGTTTTCTGTGATTCTAAAACTCGGGAAACAGGACTGACTGTTCTTCTGCTGTATGTCTGTGCGTGTCATTCAGCTCAAGACAGACGCGCATTTGCCTTGCGGTCAGGCGTGGAACTGCATTACAGTTATGTGTAAAAAAGAAAAAAAGAAACAAACAAAAAGCAAAGCTAGTACCATTGTTTATGCCTTATTTATTGTTTTATTTGTTTGTTTGTTTATATTTATTATATTATATTATATACATTAAATTATATTATTTTATATAATTATTATATATTTATATGAAATATTTACATTAAGTAGTTTATGTAATATTATTCTAATATATTGTATTTTTATATGACCTTTGTTTTTATATTTAACATGGTCAATGTACAGTGCACTTCCAACAGAAAAGCAAAATATAGCAAAAGCAAAAATATAATATATAGCAATTATATATATAGCATTATTATATATAGCATTATATATATTGCATATATTATATATAGCAAAAGCAAAAATATAATCATCCTATAGGGATAAAACTCCTAACAGCAGAAGGAAGATAATATTAAATAATAAATAAATTCATAAATAATGATAATAATAACAATGTGTATTATATATACAGTGGGTACGGAAAGTATTCAGACCCCCTTAAATTTTTCACTCTTTGTTATATTGCAGCCATTTGCTAAAATCATTTAAGTTAATTTTTTTTCCTCATTAATGTACACACAGCACCCCATATTGACAGAAAAACACAGAATTGTTGACATTTATGCAGATTTATTAAAAAAGAAAAACTGAAATAACACATGGTCCTAAGTATTCAGACCCTGTGTGTGTGTATATAGGCCTATACGTTTTTTTGTTTGTTTATAAAGACAGAAAAATACAATATTTCACTCCTGAGTAACTTAATGATACTCAGAAATTTTAATAAACATTGAACTAAAAATGTCACATATTCCCACTTGTCCTCTAACAGCAGGGGTGTGAAGTAACGAATTACAAATACTCACGTTACAGTCATTAAGTAGTTTTTATCAGTAACAGTGAAAATGTAATAAAACCGAGAATTATCATATAGACCCACCGCACCTGACCAATCAGAATCAGCTCCGCGCCGACAGGCCCCGCCCACTCCAGCACTCGTGTGACTGAAGGTGCGGCTCCAGCTGCTCGCTCTGTTTACGGTCCGCCTGTCCCGTATGTGCGTGATTCACCTGCTGTGCTCAGACGCTCCTGGAGATCCGCTGGAGTTTAACACGGTAAGATGGCGAGAGATCAGGAAATTAAACAGGGTGATTTATCGCTGTTTTGCCTTTAATGAACTCTCGTTTGATGTTTGTTCTGTAGGGCCGGGCTGGAAGTGTTTTATTCCCGTCTGGATGCGTCAGTGTGTCTGTTCTGGACATTTAATCTGTAGCAGTTCCGCATGATCACTGCTGGAATGACACGCACAGCTCCTTAACGAGCAGACACACTCTCCATGAACAGGTACAGCCAGGTTTTATTGTATTATAACTGAAAAGTTCTCGAGTTGCAGTCATACATTTGTCATTTGGAACTCTAAATTGTGAAACATTGTTACAGATCAAACGATTGAAACAGTGATTGTTACAATATTACATATGTTTATACAACGAAAGAGAAAGCAGCATTAAAAGAGATGCGACAATTTAACACTTTACATTAAAACATACATAAATAAGAAATAAAAGAGCAATAAAAACAAACCTCTTACATGCAAGTCTATTTAAAATGTAAATATTAAAAATATTCAGAGCTGTTTGAAAAATGAAGGTTATAATTTGTAGTGTTAAATAAATAAGCTGCATAGTCATCTCATGGCGTTATTGCTCATACTTGGATGTTGTAATAACACAGGAACTGGTGAGACAGGTGCAGAAGATCTTCATGATGGATGAAAGTGCTGTGAATGAGTCTAATGTGAAAGTGGCGGTCCGGGTGCGACCCATGAACAGGAGAGGTGAGTGTGACCGTCACAGACTGTGTGTTTGATTCTGGTCTTTATCTGCAGCCCTTATTTCTTTTATGATCCTCATTTATGAAAGCAAACCTTCCCCTTTTGTGGGTCAGTGACTATTGAGGCTGTCAGGATGATGAAAATGAACAAATCTGGGGGAAAAAATCTAGTTTTAAAATGCATAAACTTTATCTTTATGCTGCATTTACATTATTTTTGAAAATGTTTATACTGTGTTCAGCACGCACACACACACACACACACACACACGTATGTCAATTATTTGTTCAATTACATATATAATTGAATAAATCAGAAATATTGCATGTGAAATGCTGTTTGTAAGCAATGATGCAAACAACATTTTGACCAATTTTTGATTGATTGTTATTAATGTGCTTTTTATAGAACGAGACTTAAAGACAAAATGTGTTGTGGACATGGAAGGAAATCAGACCGTCCTGTACCCGGCCAATGGAAACCTGGGAAAGGGCGACAGCAGGTAAACTGGGGTGTGTTTGTGTGGGTGTGTGTTTGTATTTGACTAACACTCAGTACAGTGATATTTGAATATGTAGAGTCATCTAATAAAATGCAAAAATGATCTCTATAGTTGTCTTGACAAGCCTCAAACTTTTGGAGTAATATGAATTCGATCTGAGGAATGTTAGTGCTGTCTGCCTTTGCAATACAATGCTGGGGTGTTCTGAGTAGTTTCTAGTTGATATTTATTGCTCACTAGGTGAAATCACAATTAGTCTGATCACTTAATAAAGTAGGAAAGAAACAGAATCTCTTCCTGTTTTAGTTTGACTCTCTCTCGAGCTGACATTTTGTTTCTTTCTCTACATTCCTCTTCTCCTTTGACCTCCAGTGTCCATAGAAACGAGTGAAGGTTCATTGGCAGGTCAAAAGTAAGCCTGGATACTTGTGCTAAAAACCCAAGAAACTAAATTACTCGTGTATCATTGGGTCTTTTCAGGCAACTTAAAAAACAAAGCTGCACAAATGTGTGCTGTCCTCTTGCCAAGCACCACATAGCTTTACAAAAGATATCTGGTTAACTTCCTGTGAATGCAACTACTGTAGGATTTTAAAATGGAAACACTGAATCCTAGCTTGTCACAGAGTTCACTCACAGTTTACAGTAAAGACATCTTGAAGTTTGGAAGTTATACGTGCCTTGTATATTCCATAGGAATGGTTGCTGAGTGGTTGCTAGGTGGTTGCTGATATGGTTTCTATGGTGGTTGTCAGGGTGTTGTGGGTGGTTGCTAGGGTGTTGCCAGGCAAATGTTAAGGTGTTCCGGGTGGATTCTAGGGCATTTTGTGGTTGTTAAAGTGTTGTGGGTGGTTGCTAGGGTGTTGCCAGGCAAATGTTAAGGTGTTCCGGGTGGATTCTAGGGCATTTTGTGGTTGTTAAAGTGTTGTGGGTGGTTGCTAGGGTGTTGCCAGGCAAATGTTAAGGTGTTCCGGGTGGATTCTAGGGCATTTTGTGGTTGTTAAAGTGTTGTGGGTGGTTGCTAGGGTGTTGCCAGGCAAATGTTAAGGTGTTCCGGGTGGATTCTAGGGCATTTTGTGGTTGTTAAAGTGTTGTGGATGGTTGCTAGGATGTTTCCAGGCAAATGTTAAGGTGTTCCGGGTGGATTCTAGGGCATTTTGTGGTTGTTAAAGTGTTGTGGGTGGTTGCTAGGGTGTTGCCAGGCAAATGTTAAGGTGTTCCGGGTGGATTCTAGGGCATTTTGTGGTTGTTAAAGTGTTGTGGGTGGTTGCTAGGGTGTTGCCAGGCAAATGTTAAGGTGTTCCGGGTGGATTCTAGGGCATTTTGTGGTTGTTAAAGTGTTGTGGGTGGTTGCTAGGGTGTTGCCAGGCAAATGTTAAGGTGTTCCGGGTGGATTCTAGGGCATTTTGTGGTTGTTAAAGTGTTGTGGGTGGTTGCTAAGATTTTCAGAGTGTTTTCTAGGGCATTATGTGGTTGTTAAGATGTTCCAGGCAGTTGCTAGGATGTGGCTAGGCAGTTGAGTGTTTTTTTAGGGCATTGTGTGATTGTTAAGGTGTTCTAGGTGGTTGCTAGGGGGTTGCTAAGCAATTGCTAATGATCTGGGTGGCTTGCAGGGCATTATGTGGTTGTTAAAGCATTCTTGACATCTGTTAGATAGTTGATAAGGTGTTCTGCGTGGTTAATGTGACATTATATGGTTTTCAGAGCATTCTGAGTGGTTGCTGTGGTGTTTCTAAGCAGTTGCTAACATATTCTGGGTGATTCCTAGGGCATTTTGTGGGTGTCACGGTATTCTGAATGGTTGATATGGTATTGTTAGGCAGTTGCTAATGTCCTGGGTGGTTTCTAAGGCATTATGTGGTTGTTAAGGTGTTCTGGGATGTTTATTGGGAATTATGTGGTTGTCAAGTGTTTTGGTGGTTACTAGAGTGTTGATGAAGTATGTGATTATATATTTGTGGTTGTCAAGGTATTATGGGTGGTTGCTAAGGAGTTGCTAATATTGAATATTTTCTGAGTAGTTTCTACGGCATCATGTGGTTGTTAAGGTGTTCTGGGTGGTTGCTAAGGAGTTGCTAAGTAGTTGCTAATGTTCTGGTGGTTTCTAAGGCATTATGCGGTTGTCAATGTGGTCTGGGTGGTTGCTAAGGTGTTGCTAAGCAATTGCTAATGTTCTGTTGGTTTCTAAGGCATTATGCGGTTGTCTGGGTGGTTGCTAAGGTGTTGTGAGTGGTTTCTTGGAGCTTGATGAGCAGTTTTCCAGCCAATATAATAAATGTAAGGTGCCATGTGACATCTTTCATATACTTCTGACTGGTCACACATTAAAAATGGTGTTATCTTTGATAATGTTGCTGCATTTGCATTGGGTGCTATAAAGCTGTTCCCAGTGTTTGTTTATTTATAGCATTGTTGTCATTACTTTTTCCTTTATTTAACCAGACAAGTCAATTGAGACATTGATTTACTGTACAATGGCCTGACGTTTTGATCCATGCATATGTTGCATGCTGTAGTTCTTTACTCCTTTAACACAAAGAGGAGTTTGTTGGTTTTGCAGCAGAGCCTTCATCAGTCAGCAGTGTTTCATATCACCGCTGTCTGATGACTGAAATCAGCTCTCGGTTTTGCATTGGTCGTCTGTCAGCATGCACTAAACTGCACATGCATGTTTGATATATTAAAGACCAGCCGGTTTTCAGCCTGTGCTGGAGCATTATTATCTTCATTCCTTCTCTTTGTCTCCTCTTCCGTTCCTTCTTCTGGTCTCTTTACAAAGGGTGTGCCTGTTTTCTCCGCAAGCCTTTCCCGGAGATCTGGCCGTTTTCCAGGTCACCTTATGCAGGAATCTGCTCTGTCGTGTCCAGCTTCTCTCAGTTTCTCAGTGCTGATCTAGTCATGTTTCAGACCGCTGAGCTGTCTCTGCTGTAACTTGCAGCGGTTTGCGGTGATGGCGTGCAAACAGGTTTTACAGGCTTATACAAGAAAGTTTACTCAAATTCCATAATAATCCCTCACAGCAAGTTTGTGTTTTCATTATGAAGTGCAAGTAGAGACAGCACACTCATGCAGATTCTGTTTGTCATGTAAATGATATCGGGGTGGGTTTTAATTAAAGTAAAACATGAGATGAAGGAGGCTCAAAGCAGATGGTTACATTGTGTAATTCTCGCCCAGGGTTCAGCTTGTCCTTATTTTGCACAAATTTCTGGAATGTTCCTGAAATGCTTTGTCGTCCTCCTGTCATGCTCAGCGTGTGCTTAGGAAAATCTGGAAGTTTGTCCTGATAATTGTTTTGTTGTTTTATAGAAAAAACAACACAATTGTAGCTCTGCAGGATGTTTTAGCTGATGTTATAAGTAGGGATTGCTAAAGGAAATATCATTGTGTGATTTGAACAAGCCTTTAATTATTAAACGTTGGTGCTTAAATCATGTCTTGTTGAGGAAAGGTCATCAGATGCACGATGTTCAGATTTTCAAGTAGATGATAAAATGGGTGAACATATGTACAATAATTGTGTAAATGTGTATTTATACAAACAAATTACAAGGGCATTACCATTCAAAAGTTTGGGGTCTGTAAGATTTTGTATGTTTTTGAAATAAGTCTTACTCTCACCAAAGCTGCATTTATTTGATCAAAAATACAGTAAAATCAGCAATACTGTGAAATATTATTACAATTTAAAGTAACTGGTTTTAAAATGTAAAAATGTCAGATTCAGCATCATTACGCCAGTCTTCAGTGTCACATGATCTTCAGAAATCATTCTAATATGCTGATTTGCTGCTTAAGAAACATTTCTGATTATCATCAATGTTGAAAATAGTTGTGCTGCTTCATGTTTTTGTGGAAACCGTGATGCCGTTTTTTCAGGATTCTTTGATGAATAGAAAGTTCAAAAGAACAGCATTTATTTAAAATAGAACCTTTTGTGACATTATAAACGATTTTACTGTCACTTTTGAATTGATCAATTTAATGTATCCTTGTTGAATAAAAGTATTCATTTCATATATATGATGTAATATATTCATGTGTTTTTCTGTTGTTGTTTTTCCGTCTGTCCTTTTGTGAATGCAGGAGCAAACCAAAGGTGAGTTTTCGTATGTCATTTCTGCATTAAATTCATGTGAACAAATGCATTATTATCACGAATAATGTGCGTGACCGAAAATGGTTTAACTTAAAGCTGCAGTCCATCATTTTTTTGTGTTCAAAATGTACAAAATGTATATAATAAGCGAGTACACCATGAATCCATTTTCCAAACCGTGTTTTCGGCTTGTTCTGAATCACTATGGTACACCTATAATAAGTGTTTATATTCGGACTATTTCGACTGGTTCGGGTAGGTACCGCTGCGGAGTAGCCCTGTACCTGCGTGATTCGCCACAGACATAAACAGAGAGAAGTAGCTCCGGCTACAGTGTTCTTCCGCAAGACGCACGCAGTTCTGTTTATTAACCGCTAGAGCGCCAAAAGTTACGGACTGCAGCTTTAACTGGATTTGTATAAAGTAGGGATGGGCGATACTACTTATTTTGTTTTCGATACGATACCGATATTTTTCAAGGCAGTATCATCGATATCGATACCAATTCGATACTTCTGAACTAAGCTTTTAAATTATGAAATTTATGAAATTATTAAATTACTAAGAGTAAAATGGGTAATGATAAGCACTTAACTTTGTTTTTGTAATTTATTAGGTTATATTTTTGTTTACACATGGTTCAAATACGTTTTTTGTTTACACATGATTCAAATCTATAAATACTACAGTTGAACTACGGTCACTTTAGTAAAATCATGGTTCATTATTATAGGAGACTGCCAGTGAATGGCTGTTACATGCATAAAATGCAACATTTTATTCTGACAGTGTATGATTTCTATTAACATTACAGAATAGAACATGATCAATATTATCTTTCAACGTTCAGTTTAAATAACTGGAATTGCACAAACTGTGTAGGCTACAATTTCAGTTTGTTTAATGTGAAATAACTCAAACACATGTTTTTTTTTTTCCTCTTTCCTCTGATAAGCATTGTTCAGGGCTGCCGTTACCAAAAGCTTTAATGCTTTCTTATGATACTTTTGGGAAACGCAGCCCTGTTTGAGTGCACTGTCAGAAGTGAGTGAATGCTCTCTGTGATGGATTGGGTCTGTCTTGCAACATTTGCATTTCAGATGAGCAGGAAAATAGTTATATCCTACACATATTGTACGCATTATTATATATTTTTTTTTGTTGAATTAACAAAATCACTGGTAAATTTTTTGTTTGAGTATCGATACTCGCGTCAGTATCGATATATCGATACTTTGGATCGATACACCCATCCCTAGTATAAAGTTATTAGTCATGTTGAACATTTAGACGGCTCATTTCAAGCTTGTGACATGCATCTGTTACACAGTCTTTAGACATTTGCGATGTCTCGTTTCAGGTTTTCGCGTATGATTATTGCTTCTGGTCTATGGATGAGGCTGAGACGGCCAAATTTGCAGGTCTGTTGATATTGAAAATGATTCATTTTGCTATAATGACCAACCCTTTTGTGGAAACTATCACTAAACCTCTGTAATGTGTTTATACTGCAGTGATCTGAATCATCAGGGAACATTTATGATGGCAATAGAAACTAATAGACATCATTATTCCCTGCTTATGTTTCCTTGTGAACTTTTCTGAAGAAAAGACAAACCTGTAAAACTGCTTTACCAAATCTACTGATCATCCGCGGTTTATCAAGCTAAAGATTTGTAAAGCTTCAAGACTAGTTAAGCTCTATAAGCAGTTGCTGTGTTTGTTAATTACCTTAGTATTTATTTACTCGTCTTTTAGTTTAAAAAAAAAAGTAAATCAGAAATCACAGTTACAATAACTAACTTACGATGGAAGTAAACTGACAATGAACTTTAAGAAATTTGATAAACTTGAATGGAACCCTTTAAAGGAATAGTTCACCCAAAAATGAAAATGTATTCACTTTCAGGCCATCTGAGATGTAGATGAGTTTGTTTCTTTATCAGATTTGGAGAAATGTAGCATCACATCACTTGCTCAGCAATGGATGCTCTGCAGTGAATGGGTGCCGTCAGAATGAGAGTCCAAACAGCTGATAAAAACATCACAATAATCCACAAGTAATCCACACCACTCCAGTCCATCAGTTAATGCCTTGAGAAGTGAAAAACTGCTTTTTTGCAATGTTTTTTTAACTTGCCAAAATATGAGTCCATAATAACGCTTCCTCCAGTGAGAAAGTCCATCTCCTGGTCCACCACATATTTGTTTAGAGCTGTTTTGGACTGTTTTGGCTTGTAAACCGTGCTTGATCTGTGATTATTTCTTTCTTGATTCAGACAAGACAAAGTGTTATTATGGATATCATATTTTAGACAGAAGCAACAGTTTGAATTTAAAAACATCTTAATGATAGATTTGTTTCTTACAAACACGCAGCTTTTCACTTCACAAGACATTAACTGATGGACTGGAGTGGTGTAGATTACTTGTGGATTATTGTGATGTTTTTATCAGCTGTTTGGACTCTCATTCTGACGGCACCCATTCACTGCAGAGGATCCATTGCTGAACAAGTGATGAAATGCTACATTTCTCCAAATCTGATAAAGAAACAAACTCATCTACATCTTGGACGACCTAATTGTGGGTTCATTTTCATTTTTGGGTGAATTATTATTCCTGTATTTTCAATTGATTTAGTACTGCATGCCATTTATTCTCATTTGCAGTAAATATGTTTATATTGTGTAATGTCTGACTCATAGGTCAGGATGTGGTGTTTCAGTGTCTTGGAGAGAGTCTTTTGGACAGCGCTTTCCAAGGATACAATGCCTGTATATTTGCATATGGGCAAACAGGTAGAGTTAAATTTGCTGGAAAGCTATCTATGCAAAAAATATATTTTAATCTCCATGAAAGGTTTAAGCAGAACTACTTACTGTTTCATAGTACATAACTCTTGGATATCTGCTTTATTTGTTGTAATGTAAATCAATGAGGTTTTCATAACAGTATATCAGACTACTTGCATAAAATGTCAGTTGTCACTCTATATCTCCCAATAATAAGATTTTTAATGCTTAGTTTTATTATCAAAGCTCTGTAGGTTCAAAACATATAATGCAATGCAATACCATGATGATTGAGAGATGATTATGCTCTCAGGTAATATCAGTGGTATGACTTTTTTCAGATGCGTGAAACAGAGGTGGTTAGATATATATATATATATGTAATTATTTGATCAAAGTTAATGCTAGGGACAATTTAGTAGTCGCTGGATATTGGTAGGGACATGTCCCGAGCATCCCAACTAAATTCTACACCCTTGCGCTGCAGGCTCAGGAAAGTCATATACGATGATGGGAACGGCGGAGCAGCCGGGTCTGATCCCACGCCTGTGCAGTTCTCTCCTCTCAGGTAATATCAGTGGTATGACTTTTTTCAGATGCATGAAACAGAGGTGGTTAGATATACATATATGTAATTATTTGATCAAAGTTAATGCTAGGGACAATTTAGTAGTCGCTGGATATTGGTAGGGACATGTCCCGAGCATCCCAACTAAATTCTACACCCTTGCGCTGCAGGCTCAGGAAAGTCATATACGATGATGGGAACGGCGGAGCAGCCGGGTCTGATCCCACGCCTGTGCAGTTCTCTGTTCCAGCGCACCGTACAGGAGCAGAGGGAGGGCGAGAGCTTCACCGTGGAGGTGTCCTACATGGAGATCTACAACGAGAAGGTGCGAGACCTTCTAGATCCCAAAGGGTGAGTCTGTAGAGAGTCTAAATCCTGTTTACATGCTGATCGTTGTCCAATGAAAGCCCGTATTCTGGTTCTTTTTCTGCTGTCAGTCATGAAAACCTTGAATATACTCAGATCAAACTTTGTGTACTGCAAATATTATTGATGTTCCTCTCAGGAGCCGGCAGGCGTTGAGGGTCCGGGAGCATAACGTGTTGGGGCCGTATGTAGACGGTCTGTCCCGCCTCGCTGTGACCAGCTACAAGGTTCTTCCAACACCTTCGAGAAGCTCTTCATGTCAAATGCTCTCGGTGCTGAAGCAGGATGATTGGGAATATCTTTGGTTTGGTTTTTCAGGACATCGAGTCTCTGATGTCGGAGGGGAATAAATCCCGCACTGTGGCGGCCACGAACATGAACGAGGAGAGCAGCCGCTCGCACGCCGTCTTCAACATCATTCTGACGCACACGCTCCGAGACCTGAAGACTGGGGTGAGATGCAGATTGATCTCTTATAGTCTGGATAGTCATTTTTAATCAAAGGTGAAGTGTGTGATTTTTGAGCATATAACTAGATATTTATATTTTCTAAAGACAATGTGAATTTTTGCACCACTCACACTTTCTTCAGAAAATGGAAAAAAAAATATATATAAAAAAACTGAAAAAAAAATTTAATAAAAAAATTATTTATTCATTTTGATTTATTTTTGCAATTCATTTCGGTTTAACTAGTAATGTAGAAATTACACACTGCAGCTTATATATATATATATATATATATATATATATATATATGTATACAGTGCTTTGCGAAAATATTCATACCCCCTCATGTTTTCTGAATTTTTTCCAAGCATATTAAGGAAGAAATAAATGGGTAATTATTACAGATGATTAAATTGTGTATTGAATGTCATCCTAGTGAATCTATAATCTGTAAACCCATTAGTCATGTAATTTAAAATACGCCACGTATTATTTACAGTTCTTACTTTTATTAAAAAGAGGATGCAGTGAGTCTTGAAAAATGTCATTGCTTGCATGTTACACTTACCTTAATGTTTCCCACAAAATCTATTTTAACTGGAGCAAAGACAGTTGGTCCAAGCTTGTCTGAGGGGAGAAAGCCTTTGTAAGTACTATGTCATTTAAACTGTTATTTTCTGGCTAAACATACATAAAAAATTTTTTTTATAAATAAATACATTAATTTAGTAAAAATGGATTCATTGATCAAAAGCGGCAGTCAAGAGTTTTACATTATTACAAAAAAAAAATCTTATTTTAAATAAATGACTTCGCCATAACAGGAATTTTAAAGAAAAATTATTTTACATTGTAAATACATTTCACAATCGTACTGTTTTTACTGTATTTTTGATCAAAGAAATGCAGCCAGGTTAAGCATAACAGACATCATAAAATCTCACCAACCCCCAAATTTTGCATGTTAGTGTATACATGGGTCAAAGACAAAAACGGGTTTAAGCATAAAAACAATAAGTGTAATACTGCTTTAAATTGTTGTTGTTTTTCCCCCCCAATAAATAAAATGTTTTCGGTTTAATTTAATTGCAATTTTGTTTTTGTTTTTCGGAGCAAAAAAAAAATATCATACATTTTTCCCTGATTTACAGAAGAGGCCCACTAAAATGTCATTCAGTGTAACAATCTTGTCAGGCATATTTACAACAAAAATCTATTTTTGACATATTAAATGACTAATTACCTTCACCTCAAATACTAATTAGTTGTAATTTTTATTTTTTTTAATTTGCCACTATCCTAGGTTTTGCCCATTTGTCAGTAAGAAATTTTTACTCAGTTGGTTGTCAGGGCAATATTTCTTATTTTCATACAGTTTATCTTGATGTACTAATATAACTAAAAGTGAAATAAAAATGAACTGAAACTATAAATAAAAAAAATAGAAAAAATTACTAAAACTTTAACTAAATTTAAAATAAACAGAAAATATATAAATAAAAACCTAATTCAAAATAAAAACTATACTGTAATAGTATCTCAGTAAATAAAATTACACTGCTCTAAAGTTAGCATGAAATCAAAATTGACTCTGTTTATTGCACGTTACTGGTCTTATTGTAAACAATTCATCCATGCATTTTTGTTTTTGTAAAAGATTTTTGACTTCAGTAATCTTGAATCGAATTCTGATAACTTGCTCTTCCTGTGATTGTTCACATGATGTCTATGACAGATGTAAGTCTGTGCTGCTGTGAAGCCAGTTACATTCAGATCTGCCTTTATTCCAGTATGCAGTGCTCATTTTCACAATCCAATTAACAAATGATGATTAAAAAGTCCTGTCTTACCTTTGTTCCTCTTGTCATTTGGAAATGCATCACAATACAGAAGTAAATTCTGCTTCATGCTGACTTAATAGAAAAGGCAGGTCTGTTGACTGTATTGTTGTCATAGATTGAAATGTATTGTTTGTGTGGACGGGGTTGATTTCAGACGAGTGGAGAGAAGGTGAGTAAACTCAGTCTGGTGGATCTGGCCGGCAGTGAGAGAGCAGATAAAACTGGAGCTGGAGGAGAAAGACTCAAAGAAGGCAGCAACATTAACAGGTCAAACACACACAGACACACACACATTTGTTTATACCATGTTGGGGATTTTCGTTCCTAAATTTCTTAATTTGATTAATCCGCTAATATTTGGCCATTTTGACCCTGTCTGATAGTGTGTCAGATTGTTTTAGTTTTTTTTGTTTAAGCATTTATTTAAATAAAAATTTTTATTTATTTATTTTAACTATTTAATTACATGACTCTCTTTTTATTTATTAAAAATTTTAAATATTTGTGTTTATAAATAATTGTAATTCATAATGCTTATTTGTGAAGCATATATAGCAATAGTAGCATAATAACTAGTTGTCTCACATTTTTACCCTAAAAATACATAATTTTTCCATCTAAAAATATTTGGGCATTTTCAGACCCATTTTTTACTTTTTTATTTATTTGTATAGTTGTTTAATTGTACATTAAAAAATGTTGTAGGATTTATTTTTTGTAACACATTGAAATAAACATGACTTTTTTAAGAAGAAAGACAAAATTATTTTTTGAAACTGTAAATAAACCAAAAATGAGTGGAGAGCGTTTTACAAGAAAATACTATTTCAGTGTGTAATTGTTGATCTGTTTTTTGTAATTGTCAGCATATCACCGCATGCGGGTTTTGTCAGGATCTTCTGCATTTAAAGAAATGATAAAACCCCTCAGGACAGTCAGCAAAACACACACAGAAGTGTGGATGACATTCCTCTGAACTGAAGTATGTTTGCTTCTTCAGGAGCGACAGAAGCAGCTGGAGAGTTTGGGAATTTCTCTGCAGTCGTCTGGGATCAGAGTCATTGATGATAAATGCTTCCTGGTCAACCTGAACGCAGACCCCGCTCTCAACGAGCTGCTCGTCTATTACTTAAAGGTACAGACACAGATGAATACAGATCAGTGTTACGGTCTCCGCTTGAATATTTTATATAAAACTATTCATATGCGTGCATGTATAAATGTTGATTGACTATCAGCTGTAATATTTGTTCATTTGAAAGTGCCATGTTTTGGTGAAGTTTGGTGTGGATGAGGTGTTGTATTTCATTGATGTGTGTGTTTATGTGCAGGAACACATAACTCGTGTGGGTTCTGCAGACTCTCAGGACATTCAGTTGTGTGGTTTGGCAATTCAGTCAGAGCATTGTGTTATAGACATCAAACTAGAGACGGGAATCACGCTCACCCCGAAGAGAAACGCTCGGTAATCTCACACACACACAGATTCAGGCAAGCGGAGTATTACACGCAAAACAGTGTGAAATTTACACAAAACTGTCTAAAATTGTAAATGATTTCTAAAAGTATTACTAAAACTTTCAAATAAACATTAATTGAAAATAAATAAAATATAAAATATGTATTTAGCTTATTTCTGAAATAATTTCATCTAGTTGCCAAGGCAACATTTTCATTTAGTTTAACTTGAAATAACTATTAAAATATCTCAAACTAAAACTGAAATAAAAATTTATAAAAACTGTGTAGATATTTTTACATTTTTCTTTTTTTAATATGTTCTTAAATTATATTTGTAATTTATTTATAAACTAATGAAAATGACAAAAGCATGCAACAAAATTACAAAAACCTTAACTAAATGAAATAATAAAACTAAAAACTAAATTTTAAGTTAAAAAAAATCTAAATGTTAATACAAACTATAATAGTGTCTCGATGATACTAAAGTAACACTGAATGTAAATTATGCTGAAATGAAAAGATGTATTTATTTGCACTAATAGTGCACTATGTATGTGCACTAGTAACAAAATGTATTTGCACTGTGTTGCACTAAGAGTGCACTATTGACCCAGTTTATATGCACTATTTGCACTAATAATGCACTATTTATTTGCACTAATTAGTTATTTACACTAATAGCACACTATGCACTTTGTTTTGCACTTTAACCCAGTTCATATTCACTATTTGCACGAACAGTGCATTATTTATGTGCACTAATTAATCAGTTATCTGCACTAATGGTGCTCCATTTATGTGCAAAACCATTAGTTCACATAAATAACCAGTACAGAACAATTGAAAGAAAATGTGATTTAATGGTTTTTATTTATCCATTCATATGTATGTTTATATATTCATTATATTATATTTTTATATATGTGTATATATTTAAAATAAACAAATTTTATAATTATTTTAAAGTAATTGTATTGTAAATAAATTGTAAATTGCTAATCTAATAATCAAATACAACAATTAAAGTATATAATATTTAGAATAAACTATATATTGCATGTACAGTAGACAGTTATATTAACTGCTATATACAAATCCTGTTATATAAAGCTTAAACCCAAAATGTTGATGTCCGGCTTTACATACTCATAACTATGTATTAGTCTGTCTCTACTCTATAGCTAGTGATAGTATGTAAGAATATGTGTGTATGTGATGATTCATGTAGTGTCTGTCTCTGTGTGCAGCACATGTGTGAACGGCACTGTGGTCTCGTCTCCCGTCCAGCTGCATCATGGGGATCGAATCCTCTGGGGAAACAACCACTTCTTCAGGTCAGTGAGACACATTTACACTCGGGTACTGGGTTTAATTGCGTTTCATTGATTTGATGTCCATTAAAATGGATTTGTTTAGTTAGATTAAAATCTTAAAGACACCATTTAATGTGTCCTCTTCTTAAACGACCCCTGAAAAAAGTGTCAAATTGACCCAAAGCCGTGTGTGTGAGTGTTTACTGACTGTACTATTCTCTTTGTGTTTCTCAGGATCAGTGTGTCGAACGTGTATCGTGTTGGTGTTGAGGATGAGGAGGGGTGTACGAGGAAGGCCGGTCTTCCTGAGCATCTGGATGTGGATGTAGACAGTCTCAGTCACGCCTCCAGTGACAACAGCTTCAGTTTTGAGTCCGCACAGACGGAAGTCATGATGAAAGCGCTGGGAAACAACGGTAAGAGGCACGGCACACAACAGACAACCTGCTACTGTCAATATAACCCCTTCTAAAGGGTGATTCTGGGCTGCTTTAAGTGTTGCAAACTAATAAAAAAACACTTTGAGATCCAAGTGAAATTGAATGGTGCTACATTTAAATTGAATGGCAGTTGTACCAGTATTCTTCTGTAATGTTTTAGTTGCATTACATTTTTAATCACCATGCCTATTTTTGAGAGCATGCGTAAACAAAAATAACTAGTAATATTTGTCATATATATAATGAAAAATGTATTCCTTTTTGTCTTGTTGTAATAAATAACATTACATATAGTTTTTCTGGCTTCTAAATGGATATAACAAAAATTAGAATTTTTTTATTTTATTCTAGATTTTTTTATTTAATCTAGAAAGACTTTTTAGAGAGCATGTGTAAACAAACATATCCATTAATATATTTATTTAATTGAATAACATCACATGTACTTTAAAATGTGTTTTATATAGATTTTATTATTATTAAAAAAAAAATTATATTTCTCATAGATCATGATTTTTAGTTTTTCATTAAAATGAATAACATCACATAAAATGTGAATTCAGGCTTTTAAACAGATTTAACAAAAATGAGAAATTATTTGGCATATTTTTTTCCCCTTTATACTAGTATTTTTTAAATGTATTGTAGAAAGACTTTTTTAGAGGGCCCATGAAAACAAAAATATCCACTAATATTTCTCATCTGTCATGTAATTTTTTTGTTTGTTTCCCCAGCATTTAAATATATTTAACACTCAACACTTCCATCTTTATAGATATGTGTTTGTGTATGTTATGTAATTTGTATTAATTTCTGAAATAAAAGTAATCAAATTATATATATAAAAAAATATATATTTTCCATCTTTTTATATGGACAGTTTTTCCATTATATTTTGACACTAAAAGCTTTATTAGATAAATAAATAAAACATATTTAAAGTATTTTAATTAAATGTGTATTCATCTGCATTTTGACCAACTTATTTTTTTTAGTATGCAACTCTTTCATGCAAAGCATGCACATGGTTCAGGAGATATTATTTTACTGCACAAGAAGAGAAAGAATAAAAAAAAAAATAGATAAATAAAAACCAAAACAACAAAAGCAATATATAAAGAACAACAGCGCTGGATGGAATCTTAATACACAAAGGAAGACAAAGCATTAACCAGCCAGTCTATTTGAAATCCGATATACTTCAGAAAAGCATATGCTTATTCTGAGCATTTTGTTTTTAATGAGTGAAATGTGTGTGTCTCAGAGCCGCTGCAGTCGGTGCTTCACTCTCTGGAGCGCAGGCATGAGGAGGAGAAGCGCTCGGCTCTGGAGCGACAGCGGCTGATGTACGAGCAGGAGCTGCAGCAGCTGCGCAGAAGTCTGTCGACAGAGCTGCAGATGCAGGGCTCTCACCTGCAGCAGCAGCGCCTGGTCTCCTCTCAGAGCCCACTACGCCAGTGGAGTGGCGAGAGGTGAGAGCCGAGCACAAACTTGCACTCAGTGTGTTTTGAGTTGTGTGTGTGTGTGTACTAAATATCAGGTTTCTGTGCTTTCAGGGAAGTTTTGATGAATCGAAGTCTGCGTAAGCTCAAAGATCAGATTGTGAAGGCCAATCTGCTGGTTCAGGAGGCTGGATTCATCGCTGAAGAGCTCAACAAGAAAACCGAATATAAAGTCACACTGCAGATCCCGGCTGCTAACCTCAACGCCAACCGCAAGGTCAGGAGAGACACTCTGTGCGTGTGTGTGCGCGCGCGCGTGTTATTGATTGTTGACGTATTTGTCCGGTTATATTTTTAACATTAATGTTATAGATGTATGGTGTCATATTTGTGAACCGTTCAAAAAGAATGGTTCGTTTAAATGGTTCAGTCAACAAGCAAGGCTTCGTAAAACGTTCTTAGGAAACTGAACTGGATGACATGTTTGTCACAGTCTGTATAACTTACTCGAAAACATATTAAATGTTCAATAAAATATTCATTCAATTGGCATACTATTCATCAGGGTTCAATGTGTGTGTGCGCGTGCATGTGTGTGTGCGCGTGCGTGCGCGCATGTTATTGATTGTTGACGTATTTGTCCGGTTATATTTTTAACATTAATGTTATAGATGTATGGTGTCATATTTGTGAACCGTTCAAAAAGAATGGTTCGTTTAAATGGTTCAGTCAACAAGCAAGGCTTCGTAAATCGTTCTTAGGAAACTGAACTGGATGACATGTTTGTCACAGTCTGTATAACTTACTCGAAAACATATTAAATGTTCAATAAAATATTCATTCAATTGGCATACTATTCATCAGGGTTCACATAGTCATGGAAGATCTGGAAAAATCAGATCTGGAAAAAAAAACTTTTTGAAAGAAATTAATACTTTTATTCAGCAAGGATGCATTAAATTGATCAAAAGTGACAGTGAAGACATTTATAATGTTACAAAAATTTGATTTAAAATAAATGCTGTTCTTCTGAATTTTTGATTCATCAAAGAATCCTGAAAAAAATCTCACTTTTCCACAAAAATACTTGGGAAGGACAACTATTTTCAACATTGGTAATAATCAGAAATGTTTCTTGAGCATCAAATCAGCATATTAGAATGATTTCTGAAGATCATGTGACACTGAAGACTGGAGTAATGATGCTGAAAATTCAGCTTTACATCACAGCAATAAATTACTTTTTACTATATAGTCAATTAGAAAACAGTTATTTAAAATTGTAATAATATTTCACAATATTACTGTTTTACTGTATTTTTTTTAACAAATTAATGCAGCCTTGATGAGCAGAAGAAACTTAAAAAAATCGTACCAACCCCAAACATTAAACAATAGTCTGTTTTTTATTATAATTTATTCTAAAATGTATTTCATCAGCCAGAAATTGTTCTTTGTGGGTTTAGTCTCTATAAACATGAGCAGTCAGAGAAATTCAGACATTGAAAGTGGTTCAGAGGAAGTGATTTGAACATTACAGTATATACTAATAGAGGAGCTTGTTGAAATGTGGGTTAGGGTGAAAATGCCGCTTTAATAAAGGCTGATGTTTTCTGAGCGCAGCGGGACACGGTTCTGAGCGAGCCGGCGGTGGAGGTGAGGAGGAAGGGCAAAGGAAAGCAGATCTGGTCCGTGGAGAAGATGGAGAACCGGCTGCTGGACATGAGAGAGCTCTACCAGGAGTGGAAAGACTATGACGAGGACGATCCTGTATGTCAAATCACATGACAACTTCCTACATTATCAGAATTACCATAGTACACATTACTGTGTTTTTACTCTAGCATTATTAACTGCTGTGTGACAATGCTATTTTGGAGCTATTAATGTAGCATTTATTATTATTGTTGTTGTTGTTGTTGTTATTATCAAGTCATTTTAATATTATTTGTTTTTATTATTTAATATTGTCATTATTTTTAATATTAGATTATTTAATAATTTTTTTTACCTTCATTTTATTTGAAATCCTTGAACTTTTTTTTTCATTATTTTTAATTACAAATGTATCTCTCAATTAATTTGAGGCTATAAAAAACTGAAAGTATCAATTATATTATAAAATGATTATATTTAGGAAAAATATAGAAGTCTCTTAATTAATATGAGGCAATATCAATTAAAAAAAAAAGTTTTAAAATTATTTGAATTTTAAAGGGGTCATATGATGCTTTTATAAAGATCATTATTTTGTGTATTTGGTGTAACAGAATATGTTGACATGCTTTAATTTTCAAAAATCACAATATTTTTCAAATACTGTACATTATTGTAGGTCCTCTATGCCCCGCCTCTCTCAAACGCTTCGTTTTCTACAAAGTCCCTCCTTCCGACAAGCGCAGTCTGCTCTGATTGGCCAGCTGACCCAGTGCATTGTGATTGGCCGAACACCGCAAGCACTTGTCGGAAATGTAACGCCCCTTACCATAATCGCGAGCTTCATCTTTCAAAATAAATGTAAAGACAGAGCCCCGAAAGGGGAACAGAGTCGCGTGACAGACACAGTGATGAAGCTGGTATGTGTTTGCAGTACACAAGCCACGGTTAAGACAGCTGACTCCACTGTGATGATATATATTTTCCATCTTTTTATATGGACAGTTTTTCCATTATATTTTGACACTAAAAGCTTTATTAGATAAATAAATAAAACATATTTAAAGTATTTTAATTAAATGTGTATTCATCTGCATTTTGACCAACTTATTTTTTTTAGTATGCAACTCTTTCATGCAAAGCATGCACATGGTTCAGGAGATATTATTTTACTGCACAAGAAGAGAAAGAATAAAAAAAAAAATAGATAAATAAAAACCAAAACAACAAAAGCAATATATAAAGAACAACAGCGCTGGATGGAATCTTAATACACAAAGGAAGACAAAGCATTAACCAGCCAGTCTATTTGAAATCCGATATACTTCAGAAAAGCATATGCTTATTCTGAGCATTTTGTTTTTAATGAGTGAAATGTGTGTGTCTCAGAGCCGCTGCAGTCGGTGCTTCACTCTCTGGAGCGCAGGCATGAGGAGGAGAAGCGCTCGGCTCTGGAGCGACAGCGGCTGATGTACGAGCAGGAGCTGCAGCAGCTGCGCAGAAGTCTGTCGACAGAGCTGCAGATGCAGGGCTCTCACCTGCAGCAGCAGCGCCTGGTCTCCTCTCAGAGCCCACTACGCCAGTGGAGTGGCGAGAGGTGAGAGCCGAGCACAAACTTGCACTCAGTGTGTTTTGAGTTGTGTGTGTGTGTGTACTAAATATCAGGTTTCTGTGCTTTCAGGGAAGTTTTGATGAATCGAAGTCTGCGTAAGCTCAAAGATCAGATTGTGAAGGCCAATCTGCTGGTTCAGGAGGCTGGATTCATCGCTGAAGAGCTCAACAAGAAAACCGAATATAAAGTCACACTGCAGATCCCGGCTGCTAACCTCAACGCCAACCGCAAGGTCAGGAGAGACACTCTGTGCGTGTGTGTGCGCGCGCGCGTGTTATTGATTGTTGACGTATTTGTCCGGTTATATTTTTAACATTAATGTTATAGATGTATGGTGTCATATTTGTGAACCGTTCAAAAAGAATGGTTCGTTTAAATGGTTCAGTCAACAAGCAAGGCTTCGTAAAACGTTCTTAGGAAACTGAACTGGATGACATGTTTGTCACAGTCTGTATAACTTACTCGAAAACATATTAAATGTTCAATAAAATATTCATTCAATTGGCATACTATTCATCAGGGTTCACATAGTCATGGAAGATCTGGAAAAATCAGATCTGGAAAAAAAAACTTTTTGAAAGAAATTAATACTTTTATTCAGCAAGGATGCATTAAATTGATCAAAAGTGACAGTGAAGACATTTATAATGTTACAAAAATTTGATTTAAAATAAATGCTGTTCTTCTGAATTTTTGATTCATCAAAGAATCCTGAAAAAAATCTCACTTTTCCACAAAAATACTTGGGAAGGACAACTATTTTCAACATTGGTAATAATCAGAAATGTTTCTTGAGCATCAAATCAGCATATTAGAATGATTTCTGAAGATCATGTGACACTGAAGACTGGAGTAATGATGCTGAAAATTCAGCTTTACATCACAGCAATAAATTACTTTTTACTATATAGTCAATTAGAAAACAGTTATTTAAAATTGTAATAATATTTCACAATATTACTGTTTTACTGTATTTTTTTTAACAAATTAATGCAGCCTTGATGAGCAGAAGAAACTTAAAAAAATCGTACCAACCCCAAACATTAAACAATAGTCTGTTTTTTATTATAATTTATTCTAAAATGTATTTCATCAGCCAGAAATTGTTCTTTGTGAGTTTAGTCTCTATAAACATGAGCAGTCAGAGAAATTCAGACATTGAAAGTGGTTCAGAGGAAGTGATTTGAACATTACAGTATATACTAATAGAGGAGCTTGTTGAAATGTGGGTTAGGGTGAAAATGCCGCTTTAATAAAGGCTGATGTTTTCTGAGCGCAGCGGGACACGGTTCTGAGCGAGCCGGCGGTGGAGGTGAGGAGGAAGAGCAAAGGCAAGCAGATCTGGTCCGTGGAGAAGATGGAGAACCGGCTGCTGGACATGAGAGAGCTCTACCAGGAGTGGAAAGACTATGACGAGGACGATCCTGTATGTCAAATCACATGACAACTTCCTACATTATCAGAATTACCATAGTACACATTACTGTGTTTTTACTCTAGCATTATTAACTGCTGTGTGACAATGCTATTTTGGAGCTATTAATGTAGCATTTATTATTATTGTTGTTGTTGTTGTTATTATCAAGTCATTTTAATATGATTTGTTTTTATTATTTAATATTGTCATTATTTTTAATATTAGATTATTTAATAATTTTTTTTACCTTCATTTTATTTGAAATCCTTGAACTTTTTTTTTCATTATTTTTAATTACAAATGTATCTCTCAATTAATTTGAGGCTATAAAAAACTGAAAGTATCAATTATATTATAAAATGATTATATTTAGGAAAAATATAGAAGTCTCTTAATTAATATGAGGCAATATCAATTAAAAAAAAAAGTAAAAAAATTACAATACACAAGAATAGCAATGACCTGAGGATATGCATGCTCGTTCATAGAAAGTTTTGGCTATGAATTAATGAAAGAAGTCCTTTCCTATGGCAGAAAGGAAAGTGTTTGGTTGACAAAACAGTTTGGGTTTAGGAATACTCCAACTAGGGTGCCAGGACTTGTTGGTTGTTATTCGGGTTTAACTCAAGCTTTTTTCTGTGTTGTGTGCGTGCAGGTGGAGTGAAGTGACCCGCAGGCTGGAGCTCTGGGTTCAGATCCTGGAGCTGAATGATGCTGGAGAGTTTGTGCCGGTGGAGGTTCAGCCAGCTAAGGACGTCTGCACAGGAGGAATATTTCAGCTTAAACAGGTCTGTGTGGACATTAATGATAGTAAAACTAGATTTTGACATGTTTTTTTCTGTAGAAGATCTGATTTTACCGATGCAGTTCCTGACTTGATTCGGTGTCTGTGTGGCAGGGTCAGTCCAGGCGTGTTCAGGTGGAGGTGCGTTCGGTCCAGGACTCCGGCACCATGCCTCTGATCACCGAGTCTGCACTCAACATCTCCATCGGCAATGTGGAAGTCCATCAAACTCGATCTGGCAAAAGCACAGAGACCCAGAGGGTGAAATACTCATCTTTACCTTGTTTTAAAAAAAAATTATTAACAGTTTTAAACAATTTCACGCAGAAATGTTGATTCAAATGTTGGCTAACTTTAAGAAAATTTTGAACCAACTCGAACACTAAAATCACAGGTAACCCAAAAAACATTGAATGCATTAAAGGAACACTCCACTATTTTTGAAAATAGGCTCATTTTCCATCTCCCCTAGAGTTAAACAGTTGAGTTTTACCATTTTCGAATCCATTCAGCCGATCTCCGGGTCTGGTGGTAGCACTTTTAGCTGTAGCTTAGCATAGATCATTGAATCTGATTAGACCGTTAGCATCTCGCTCAAAAATGATCAATAAAAAATTACAATACACAAGAATAGCAATGACCTGAGGATATGCATGCTCGTTCATAGAAAGTTTTGGCTATGAATTAATGAAAGAAGTCCTTTCCTATGGCAGAAAGGAAAGTGTCTGGTTGACAAAACAGTTTGAGTTTAGGAATACTCCAACTAGGGTGCCAGGACTTGTTGGTTGTTATTCGGGTTTAACTCAAGCTTTTTTCTGTGTTGTGTGCGTGCAGGTGGAGTGAAGTGACCCGCAGGCTGGAGCTCTGGGTTCCGTACTAAGACCGATGGAAAATTAAAAGTTGTGATTTTCTAGGCCGGTATGGCTAGGAACTAGAGTCTCATTCCGGCGTAATAATCAAGGAACTTTGCTGCCGTACCATGTGTGCAGCAGGCACAATGATATTACGCAGCGCCTGTTGCACACATGGTACGGCAGCAAAGTTCCTCGATTATTACGCCGGAATGAAAATATAGTTCCTAGCCATACCGGCCTAGAAAATCACAACTTTTCATTTTCCGTCGGTCTTAGTACACGATGTAACTACAGAAGAGTCAAGTTTTAAATAGGAAAAATATAGAAACTCTTTGGTCATTTTTGAGCGAGATGCTAACGGTCTAATCAGATTCAAGGTTCAGATCCTGGAGCTGAATGATGCTGGAGAGTTTGTGCCGGTGGAGGTTCAGCCAGCTAAGGACGTCTGCACAGGAGGAATATTTCAGCTTAAACAGGTCTGTGTGGACATTAATGATAGTAAAACTAGATTTTGACATGTTTTTTTCTGTAGAAGATCTGATTTTACCGATGCAGTTCCTGACTTGATTCGGTGTCTGTGTGGCAGGGTCAGTCCAGGCGTGTTCAGGTGGAGGTGCGTTCGGTCCAGGACTCCGGCACCATGCCTCTAATCACCGAGTCTGCACTCAACATCTCCATTGGCAATGTGGAAGTCCATCAAACTCGATCTGGCAAAAGCACAGAGACCCAGAGGGTGAAAAACTCATCTTTACCTTGTTTTAAAAAAAAATTATTAACAGTTTTAAACAATTGTTGCTGCGTAATATCATTGCGCCTGCTGCACCCATGGTACGGCAGCAAAGTTCCTTGATTATTACGCCGGA